TACATACATACACACACACACACATATACATACACACACACACATACAACCACTGACACACACTCAGAACCCCAAGTGTACATAAATAACTTGCTTTTGCTTAGTTAAGTGTTAGACAAACTGCTTAATTAATTAGTTCAACTGCTTGAAAGTAGAAATTAATTGTTATATTGAGAGCTCATTTATTGTTCAAACCATTGTAAGCACTTGTTAATCATTTAATATTATCCTCTCATAAAGGTCAGTTAGTTTTTAACTGGCCAAAATAAAACTACGACTTTTTGTGTTTTCTGTGTGTATTTCAATGGTTGAGTTGTTTTGATAACTGTGGGCTGTTTCAAACCTAGAGGTATAATCTTGATTAAAATCATAATCTTGATTTATATTGGGGGTGATACCTACATCTTAATGAAGTTTGTCTCATCTGACAGTGCGTACAGCCAGCGGTGGGCAGTGATAAAACTATAAACACTCAGTGAAAAGTTTGTTTTAATGCGACTCAATTTTAAAATTAGAAAGTGTAAATCCACACATCAGTAGAAAAAATTAGTAAAACACCTAAGGCGCAAATGAGAAACTCAGGTCTGCAATTAGCACTTTTGAGCTTCAGGGGACTGGTGCCCACCACCGCCTATAGCAGTGGTGTCTTGTGTATTTTGAACATATTACGATATTTGAATATTTATATGGAAAATTAGCTAAAAATAAATCAAGAAGAGAGGATTTTTCTGGAAATTTAAGGTTTGGTAACTGAAACATCAGTTTAGTAAAAGTGAGAGTCTGGTTTATATAAATAAAACAGTAAAACAAATATCAGCTACAGTATTGTGAGTTCTTACTGAGTCTTTGATGGCCATAAAACAGTGACAGATCCAGCGTCGAGTGGTGCCGTCTCTGCAGATGTAGGAGAACGCCCTCTCAAAGTTCCTGTCTGGTGCGCAGAACGACACCTTCTCTATYGTCTGATCCAAAATCAGGTCCTGCCAAAAGTATTTCCTTCATTAGCATCACATTGATTTAAATCATCTTAAAATATGACCTGAAGGACTTCAACTCCAACAGAAAACTGTCATCAAAGTGAAAACAATAAACTACAACCAGCTTGAAATGTACCAGTAAGTCTGACACARATATTTAACCTGAAACCTCATCATTATGTTGAGAACACTGTTAGATCATTCAGGAAACAATCTWATTGATTTATTCGTTCTAAGTGACAATAAAGTCTAAATGTTTGCACTAATTCACAGAAAACTTTTTATTTTTTACTTTTGTTCACAGAGGAGGACTGAACTGAACAAAATACAGTTTCAAAGCAAATTAATTCAAATTCAAAACTTTTCATTTAGTTTAAATTTAGTGAAATTAATATTCAAACCAGTGCATTTAACTCCACATTATGCAAATCCTGATTCAGTTTCTGATGACAAGTTTCTTGTAATTTGAGAATTTCTCTGACTGTAAATAAAATGTGCTTGCACCTGTATTTTTGAAGGAACCATTAATGATATTTCTTTATTTTTATGATTACAAGTCTTACAGCTTAAAAAAGAATTATGAGTAAAGTGTTTTAAATGATAATTTACATTATAATTGCACTGTGCGACACTCAAAATCTTTCAAACTGCTGAAGTTGATAGCTCCAGGTTTGTCCAGCAGACGTCACTGTGGTCTTTTATTATGTCTTCACCATAAACAGACTCCTGCAGTGAACTCTGTCCAGTCTTAGTCATTAGACCTGAACTAATCAGAATTATATTCAGCTCATGTTTTCCAGATTTTCAGCTACTACGGTGACATTCACCACTTTCAGAAACTCTTGTTTTTATGTTGATATTTCTCAGTAAAGCTATAGAGCAGTGGTGATAAACCCCAGTCTTGATGGCCGTTATACTGCACGCTTTAGAGGTTTTCCTGCTCCAACACGCCTGATTTGCATAAATATATGATTAACAGGCTTCTGCAAAAGAGTTAAATGAAACACTGAATGAGGTGTGCTGAGCAGGAAACCCTCTAACATGGAGAAGGGTGGCCCWCGAGGACTGGAGTTTGACAGCCCTCCTTAAAAAGCTGTGTTTCCATTACAAATGTGCACAAAACTTTGTTGATATTCTGTTAATGTCGAAAAAAAAACACAGTTTCACAGCTGCAGTGTTTCCA